TCTCTGAGTGTTTCTCAGAAAACCACGGGGGAACTTCTCCTTCCTAGATACAGTCTTTGCGACACAGCTGCCCTAAAGCAACACAAACACCGTGGAAAAGCATGCATATACACCACATACAGTACACACACACACACACACACATACTACACTTTTCCAACGGAGGCTGTGCTTACAAGCCTGAGAGGAACAAGAAGGGGGGAAAGGTTCCCAGTTGCACAACTTGTTTTCTGCGAGCCACACCAGCAGACAGCTCAGCGGCTTCTTCAGAGAGAAAAAAAAAAACAGCTGATATCTACAACAAACAGCCCTAATCAAAATCAACTCAAACAGCCTGTAAAAGCCGTGCTATAGCAGACTCCAGTGAGTCAGCCACAGCATACGTTATACATCAATACTTCCTCTCCCCTTTCCCGTGACTGATGTGGAGAAATAAAATGTCAGGAAGAGTATGGAAGCACAATGAAGTATTTTGGCTGCTGCTGCAGAGGTTTGAATAAACCAGGAATTTGGCTCAATTAATGATATATATATATATATATACCATACTATGTGAGAAAAAAAAGAAAAGAATAATAGATCAAGAAAAGGAGAATAAGCAAGACAGAAAAAACATTTGTCTGACAAACCCCTTCCAGGGGCCTCCGTTTTGTCTGTTATATATAAACGGTGCTAAGAAGCAAAAACATTTTCTTCAGACGTGGCCTCTGGGAGACATTTTTTTAACAGTATGACTCAAGGATTTAAACAACGCCGTGCCTTAATGAAACAAGTCAAATGGAAGCGATTGTTTACCACACAAATTCCTGCTCTCCGTGCTTTTCATGTTCTGACTCTGCACACTTGTGCAACACATCTGCAGGGGTCCGCAACACTGAGCAAAACATTCAAAAGGCCAAGTGTAGGCCAAAGGTTAAAGCTGACAAACAGATAGAATGTAGGTAAACTGAATTCAAAACAGTTCTGCACGTACACTGTAGCTACACTAGCACCAAAGACATGCACTTGTCCAAACTTAGATAACAACTAGGTGTGATATGGCACTGAGTATTTATTATACTGTAGATAAGCTCTCCTTTATGTGTCTTATTGATGTATGCTTAATATATCAAGGTCCGCAACAAACACATGTTACAAATGTAATAGTTAGCTATAATTTTTTTCATTATTTCATTGAACTTTATTTAGTGTATTAAATGTAAAGAAAACAAATTTCATAGAGGAAGTTTTGTGTACATATATAACAATGTAATTTTGTATTTACAAAAAAAATAAGTGTATTGTTGATAATATGGTGCTATGACGAACAAATTCTGGAAAACTAATACTGTAATTTTAATTATGTTTATAGTAAAATTATAGAAAATTCTTCCCTCTTCACAGATGGGATCAGGACAACTTAGAAAATACCTAGTGACCTGATGTGACTGGTGTGTGTGAGGTCACAGTTCACAGGTTATAGCTGTCAGAACTGCCCTTCTTCTGAAGCTCTAAATCATAGATTTAAAAAAAATAGAAAATAAATAAATCTCCAAGACTAAGACCTGGCTAAAGATCATCGCGGGCTGACGTCGGTGACGTCGGTGACTACAGTTTACTTTGTTTACGTTCAGGCTGCGGCAGCCGCGCGCATGTGTGTCAGTGGTGCTTTTGTTTTTGTTGTTGTTGTTGCCGTTTATGTGTGTGTGTGTGTGTGTGTGTCGCCATCCGAGGCCTCGCTGCGCTCACAGGGCCAATCCAGCAGCTCCCAGTTTAGACTCGCTGCAGCAGACCACCCTCGTCCAGTTACACATACTAATCTGGCCCTGGGGCTGCGCATCCGAGACGGCCCGCAAAAAACAACAAGGGGGGATGCGGGATTTCACCGAGGAAAAATGATTTTCGTTGGTGCGCAGCCATACATGCGCAACGACAGTGTGTACAACCCACTTAATTAGACCACGTATAAATGCGTACGCATGCGCAATAAAACAAGGAGGTCCACTAACATCAACATATCACAACACAAAAGTAGCAGAAACACGAAAAGTAAAAGTAATATGAGCTATTAAGCGAGGAATATTTTGATATTCCTCGCTTATATTAATAATATAATAACAATAATAATAGTGATAATATAAAAAATACTCACTTTCTCCGTTTATCAGTCCACACTGGCATATAACGCAGGTGCAGATGATAAAAAACACAATTTGTGCTTTCAGTTTTTGCGTCCACCGCCTCATTTTGTCTGGAGTATCAGTTGTCCTCAGATTTTTTCTTTTCCTGGTCTTTGAAGAAAAATTATATTTCAAAATTTAGCACAAAAAAAGGTCCAAAGGGGACGGTTGGTATATTATGTTGCCTTCCGCCCGGCGGGATGAGAGGGTGGGGGTGTTGATAAATGTATGGGTGTTTTCCTGATTAAGTCCGTGATGTAAGCAAATCCAGAAAAAAAACAACAACAAAAAAACACACTAAACGCCACTAAATGACGTGATCTTGGCTTCTGGTGACACACGTGTGATTAAAAATCTTCATTTTCCATAAACGGAGGCGCCAGTCCACGTTCATCTGCTTGATTTTGTCGCTGCACCAAATAACAAAAAAACAGTGTTATTATTATTATTATTAGTATTAATTAATGCCACGCGCAGAGGTTTCAGTGTGGAGGTCCCCGGATGAGATCCACTAGTTGTGGACTCATTTCTATGTTAATAGCACTGATCCAGTAATAAGGAATTCAGGGAAGTCCCACTTGAAAAAAACACACACAAAAAAAACAAACTGGTAGTAAGTGTGGAAACAGTCCTCCTCCTCTGTTGTTCGTCCAGCAGACTCGGGCTTAAAGTTGTCAGCACGTAGGTCTGCGGCTTAATTTCTCTTTGAAGCCCACAGGTATTTTCAGAGACTCCTTGTCGTTCGACTTGCTCGTATCTTCTCAGAATCTCAGCCCTTCTTTAAAAAGACAGATTGTGGGGGGCGGGGGTGGGGGGACACATCCCCAGGAAACTCCTTTCGTGCAGGAAAAACGTGCATACAGCTCCTGCGACGACCCTCCACCCTGAACTCCTTCACCCCCGCTGACCACCACGTCGCCAGCGCTCAAACCAGCTCACATCCATTAAAACAGACAGCAGAATAGAGAGGAACTCGGGAGGTAAACGTCACTTTGTCCTCCTTCTACTGTTGAGGAAAAGGACGCACATGTACGTGTACCCAGGGTGGGTGGGTGGTGGTGGTGGGGGGGCTGGTGTGAAGCGAGAACAGAAAGTCTCCAGTAGCAGCAGCAAAAGCA